TGTGTGTGTGTGTGGGGGGTGGGGGGTTTGGGGGAGGGGGTGATGATGTTATTCCAACAATTAGAGTAGCATCTCCACGTAAGAGAAATAGGGGTAGAGTTGAACGAAAACAAAAATATATACACATTGGTGATTTTGAAATATCACATCTATTTCATATCTTTTAAAAATGCCATATTCGTAATTTGTGTTATCTTTAATTTTGATTCCCACTTTAAGATAGAATGTCTATTCCTTGCCAACTCGATGGGAATGCCAATTAGAGAGGATCCGAATCTAATGTAGAAATGGATGAGAAGTAAGAATAAACATTAATTAATCTAGGACGTCGTGTTTGGTATGTATGAATGGGAGCTGAGAATGAACATTCCATTCTCACCCATTCTCGGATAACAAATGAGGTCTCTCTCTCTCACCAGTCACCACCATTAGATTATCTTGTCTGCCTGATTTATGATTTATTTATTTTCTTTGTTTGTCATAAAGCTCAATCACAAGGGACTCATTATGCACGAAATATATTTTATATCCTTACGAAGCACATAATCTTATTTCAGGTGCTGGTTTCATCTAATAAACAAACACCTGAAGTTTCGAAACTAATAAAGAACGCAAGTAGTGACTTTGCGGTAATCTTTAAATTTCTAATTTATTTCTAAATACATGGATAAAAGAATTTTGGTATAGTAAGCAGTTTGCCTACCAGAGAACAAGTTGAGAGAATGTAAATTGAACTTGATCTTATTCAATTCATATTTACAGAAAACACAGTACACAAAAAAGAATATCCTCAAAAAAAGTCCCTATTGCAAGCAGTGATATTTCCTATAATATCAAATAATAAAGTAAAACATATGTATTTCTGCAATAAATCTAATTTCTTCTTGTTATAGCCTTGTGGTATCATCCTGCGTCAAATTTTGTTAATGGAGTAAGTGACGGTTTGGATGTAAGTGATGGTTTGGATGAATAACATGTGTAGGTGTAGTAGGCATTTGATCCTCCTCTAATTGGTTGGGTATGAAGGCTTCTTCATCTGTTCCTGCTTGTTCCTGCAAAAAAAAGGAGAACGTACGTTAGAATGCCGAATATTTCCTAATGGCTAAATTTCAGAAACCCCCTCACTTTGGATGATTACCCCATCGATAACTTCCCAAAGCTTCAACAATATAAGAAACCCCCCTTGGTTATCAATCACCCAAACAACGTAAGTGTAATTTTCACATGGGCGAGTAAAAACATGGGCATTTATGCCTAGCGCTTTAGTGTGTGTGTGTGTGTTTTTTGTAGAAAATTAGTTCTATTTACAACTAAATTTAACGTTACCTGATGTGCTTGATGAGCCGACGCATCCATGTTAGCATTTGATGTGCTTGCAATTAGCCCCCTCCCCTGCTGCTGCAACGTTTGATCCATGATGATAGGCGAAGGAAAAGAATGGGCAATGTTATGAGAATCTATGTACCGCTGACTTGATGAAGGATATGCAGGTTGCCTACTGTCCGCAGATAAACACGAATAGGCAGACGGTGAGTCAAACTGTGGAGTCGGTAGCGGGTATGTACAAGTACTACTACTGTATGATAACAAAGAAGGCAAAGAAGAAGAATATGCACAAGAAGAATCAAACTGTGAAGTTGGTAGTATACAAGAAGATTGCCTGTCCTCCCAAGTTAGAGGAGGAGAAGAATAGGCACTAGGAGAATCGAGCCATGGAGTCGATAACGGCTGAAAGCAAGAACCGTCATCTTGTAGCGGAAACCGCTGAGTCTGTAACGGAGGTACGCAAGAGCCGCCATCACTGTACACGTATGGTCGCTTTGGCAGCTCACAATAACTGTAGTTGGGATTGCGTACGGTTGTTGCAGGATCAGGATTTCTATTATTGGCGATGATGGCAGGATGTTGTGATTCGCCCATAATAAGTTCGAGATTAGAAGTTGGTGCTTGCCTGACCTCCGTTATGTTACGAGGAGTGCAGGAATCATGTGCTGCAGGTGGTGGTTGTTGCCCTCGTCGCTTGAGCCTCGTGTTCCAATAGTTCTTGATCTCATTATCAGTTCGTCCGGGTAGCTGGGAAGTACGGAGCAGGAATATTAGTAAATGAAGTGCGATATCGATATTATAAATGAGATAAAAAATCAAGCGGAAAACAATAATAAACTTGAGCTTCTGCGCCTTGCGTACTTTTGTCTCACGTAACTAGCTGCTCACGTAATTAATCTAGAATTTCTGTTGGAAGATGCATATTTCTTTTATTCATCTATTGTTCTTATGAAAGTATATGAAATGTAGTATATAAGTGGTAGATAGAGACGTTCTAAGCTAGAAGATTTACGTAAAGCAACAAAACATATGAAATATAGATAATTCATATCATAAGTGGATGAAATAAATAAAAAAAATCAACATTAACAAAAAATAGATGGATAAATTGCAATTGATAATTACTCATGGTTCATATACTTCGTCTTGATTCCAACAATTGGAATTAGAACTCTTGACTGAATCTTAAATCTCAATACATATAAACAATTAATTAAAAAAATGACCATGTAAATAGAAAATTAGCCGATTGTCTGGTCTTCCTTAACCTAAGAATAATCCTATGCAAAAAAGTTTAATCCTTTACCTCTCTGTCTCTCTCTCTCTCTTTTTGTAAATCTAAATTTTTATTCTGGTTCTGAAAGGAACTTTCTTCTGAAGGGTAAAATACTCTTTGGATATTATTAAGTTTCATGTCTTCAAGATACTATCAGTTATGTCGATAGGCATCATGCACACAATTATGACCAGTTCAGTTTAAATATCGTTTAGAGGAAAAGAAAAGAAAAGGAAAAAAAAAAGAAAAGTACCGACATATTTGACAAATTTTGCCCATTTATTTCCAAACTGATCATGCAATAGTTGTATCAACTTCTCTTCTTCAGAAGATAACGACCCTTTCTTTAGATCTGGCCGAAGATGGTTCATCCACCGTAATCTACAACTCTTCCCGCAACGGAGCAACCCACTATTTTTCGCGACGACATTCCACTTTCCCGTTCCGTTCCTGTTAATATAATCTATAAGAATAGCATCTTCAGCCGGCGTCCATGGCCCTTTTCTGAACTTACTTAGATCATCACCATTGTCGTTGTCTCGGCTCTTATATACGAGCATGAATGCTGCTATAAATAAGTACATCCTTTATGTCGTTTGCGGATGGATAATATTTGGTAGGATTTTTTATATTTTGAGTTTGCAATTTCTGAAAATAAACTCAAAGTTTGTTTCGAAACAATCGAATTAGTTTATATATGAGAGTGAAATTGGGGTTTCACCGACTAGTTTGTTTATGGGTAAGAGTTTACGTTTGAAGATAAGAGAGAGTAGAGAGCCCAGATCATTAGGATATCTAATTGATATGCAGGTTAATTTCATATTTCAGTCCATTTAATTAGGGGTTTACATATATATCCAAAACTTTTTTAGAGCATCTAAACTTTGAGTTTTCAAATAATTGTTTGTATTTAAACTTGATCTCTCCTATTTTGGGTTTATTGTAACCTCTTTTAATTTCCTATCTACGAAATTTAGTTTTGAGTTTAGATAAATTCCAATCGGTTATTTAGTTTTCAAATCTCAGGATAGAAATTTCAATATGCATTAGGATTAGTTTGTTATTTTAAAGTCATCCTAAGATATAAGATTTGACTTTTTAAGCGGCTGTCTTTACAGATAAAACTATGGAACTCGATATAAAATTTTTTACATGAACAACAATTTGCATGACCCCATAAGATTTGAGGGACCTGTGAGCAAACATGAAAATTAAACAAGGAAACAAAATTTTGGACCTGCCATGATCAAACCTTCACATATTGCTGGTAGAATGCCCAAAAAAAAAACCCTAGTTCTTCGTCAAGATTTCGGCTCATCAGCTGAGCATTTTTCGTTTCGAAAGATGCCTTTCATACAGAAAACATTTTATAAAATTCTGATAATATCCTAACCAAAGTTCTGCCGAACAATTCAAGGTTGTTGAAACTAACACCACAACAATAAAGAGTGAAACCAAAGATACAGCACGGAATGGAAGTAGAGAGTATAAGAGAGACCATCCAAGTCCGCATTAGCCACATGCCATTATCATACTTAACATATGTCGATATGTCCATAATATTCTCATCATCTATACTAGGATGAGTAGTATTTGGCCACAACGCATGCATAGAGATAAAGCAGTTCTCCATTTAGCTCTCCAACTCCTTGAGGAAGTCTGCGTGGTCCACCAACACCTGAAGAACGAAAATAATACAAAACAATGAGCAAACGAAAATAATCGCCCCGCCCCGCCCCCTCTTTTTTTTTGCCGTTTTTCTTTGAATTATTATGATCAGCAGCCAAGAAGATGAGACTCGATCACATTTTGATTTATCATTTACGAGCAAATCCCTATTAAGATGGAGCATTTCTTTTGGAAAGCACAAATTGGTCTTAACATCCCTGCTTGCCCTCCCCGAACTACTAAATTTGTCACTTAACACCTCATGAACTATATTGTCTCACTACGTCCCCTAAAGTATTAAATCAAGTTCATGCTTACCATTCGAACTGTTTTCAGTCCCACCTTACCTCCTGAACTACTTGTAACTTTTTCCTGCTTAGCCCCTAAACTATCAAATTTAGTTAAACTACTTACTACCTCTGATTTATTACTTTTGTGAGTATTTTCAATAAAATTACGCGAAGGAAGTGATAGTGGAAAGGCGATACCAAAATAATTTAGGGGGGTAAGCAGGTGACTAATTCAATGATTTAAGGAACATATAGACACTAAAAATATTCCAGGGGTAAGAAGGGACCAAGGTAAACTAGGTGAGTAGGGACTGGGGCCAATAATTAAGGTTTCTTAAAACCCCATTCACTACATCAAAACTCCAAACTTGTATTGATGGTATAATTTTATACTCCCTCGTGCCTTATAGACTCAGCACCTTCTTTATGAGTCCAAACCTGCACTGTTTTAGTATAGTGACACGTTTTATTAGATCTTTGAATGCGACTCTGGTGGGATTTGAACTAGGTAAATTTCGTACCATCTACCCTTCCAGTACACCAAGACTCTTTTTTAACCCCCCAGAAAACACCAAAACTCCTTAGTCCTTTTTGTGGCAGCTGAGAATTATAATTTTATACTACCACCTTAAAGTCCTGCCACTGCACCCGAAAGGCCAAAGTTGTAGTGAGAGTTGAGGGTTATAATTTATACTCTGAGATTTCTCAACGATTGTCCTGGGTTTCTGAAATAATTTGTAGCTCTTTAATTAGATTAGTAATCTGGACTTTGGAATTACACAAGTCAGCAGATAAAATTTAGTATTACTCAAAGCAATGATGCAAATTGAAGCAAAAACAATAGGAAGACTTTAAGGTGGAAGATGTGCAGAAGAGGTCTATAATTCAAATCCTATACATACTAGGGTACCTTCTGTAGAAAATAATTAAGAGACCTTCTAGTTTAAGGATATTTAGCATGATGCACAACAGTATAAAACAAGGGCTGAAGTGGCTTTATCAATGTTAAAGATATTATTCAGAACCAAGTTCCAGACATGCAACAAGTCACCATGGATATTTAAAAAAAGGTACCCCTATATTATATTTTATGAGCGGGAGCTCACTAGTTATTAACTGTCTAAATTGCACTATCTTCACATATCTTTATTAAAATTACCATCATTATTATATTGCAAATTCATATTGTAACAAATAAGTAATATGTGAAAATTACATGTGAAAACAGAACACAATGCAAGAAATTGACTGAACATATTATAAAAATGCCTTATGCTAAAGTATAAAACAATAAATAAAAAAAGGACTCACGATTTTCCAGCCATCAGGATCGAGAAATGAGGTAATCTTGGTATTGATTCCTGGAATAGGTCCTGGCTGGCGTGTGATCTTTCCTCCAAGCTCTTTGGTGACCAGATCAACAACCTCAGCACTTTTGTAAACATCTTCAGTACTGATAGCAAGCTACAAATGATAATTAGACAGTAAGACTAGATAGTAAGTAAAACAAAGCAACAGGCAAATATAATTGAGAACTATTACAACTTGAGTATGGCGAGGAAGGCAGCAAACCCCCCCAAAAAAAACACTTATAACCTGAGCATATGCATTGCCCTTGGTGTATTCTGTGACTCCATAGTTGTATGTCAATTCGACCACAGTTGATTTGTATTCATCGTCATAACCCATCATGGCAAGAGTGTACTGTGTAAAACATGCAATTCATGAGGTTTAATATCATTGAAGTTGTCACTCCAAAATATGGAAGGAAAAATGTACCTTGTAATCAGGATTATCGATCTTTCTCAATAATTTCATCCCACATGCCTGTATCATTGCATCAAACATGAAACTCATAAGTATGGATCCACAAGAGACGGTACCTATAGATATGGAAGCATGCAACTTAATGATGCACACTGTAAGAAAAGTTGCTCTTCTGCATTGACTAATGTGTCTAGATAAAACTTCTACAATGATGCGTTTGGAAAAAGAAATTGATTTGAATATGTCGAATTCATTTCTAAAACATGAAATTTGTAGTTCAATTCCAATTCTATTGTTCGGGAATAATTAGATTTTCAATTCTAGAATTTTCAATTCTAAACATTTTGTCAGTAATATTAGAGGCAATTTGAGGCGCACGTCTGAGGCGCGATGTGCTGTGGAGCGCAAGCACAGCGCCGATGCGCTGTGGCGCGCAAGCACAGTGCCCCGCATCAAGTGCGGGCGCTCTGCTTCCCTCAGGCGTGCGCCTGAGAAAGCCTCGCGTGTTGCGTGGGGCACACGCTTGAGAACCAGCGGGCTAACTGGGTTTTTTTAAAGTTAGAAATAGCGGGTTATCAAGTCTAGACCTGATTCCTACTAAACTTACCTCACCCAATCTGATCGGCTGAGAGCTAGGGTTTCATTTTTCCACTTCCTCCTCTCACTTCTATAGAAGGCCGGCAACAGTAACACCGCGGAAGGCCGGCAACAGCAACAACAACAGCAACATCACGGAAGGCCGACAACAAGCCAAGGTCAGTCTTATTCTTCTTCTTCTTCAGTTCTTCTTCTTCTTCTTCTTCTACTTTTCTTCTTCTCAGTTTTTCTCCTCTTTAGATTTTTTTTTTTTTGAATCGATTGTAAAGTCATTATCTGCTAAGTAAAAGTGGTTTTCTGCTACAGCAACAGTCAGAAAATTTGGTTGATTATTAGATATTTGTTGCTATATTGTTCATTTAACATTGTTTTGCGACTCATGAATATTGTTGCTACTAGCCGTCATAGCCGATTTTTCTTTTGTAACATGTAAATTGCAAATTAGAAATGTAATTGTTAGTGATGCAATACACTAATATCATTATGTATAATTTGTATGATTATGAAATAATGAAAATTAAAGTAGAAGTGTGATTCACTAAATCTATGTACTTACGTAGTATAGTTGTTAATTTATGTGTTTTTGTGTAGATAATTAGATATGTCTTCATCGACCGGTAGTGGGAGAAGATAGGATCCTACGTGGAAATACAATTCACTTGTGGACGAAGGAAATGCCAACAAGCACAAGTGCATCTTTTGTAATAAGATCACAAATGACGGTATATCAAAACAAAAGAAGCATCTTATTGGAACAAAGAGGAAACGCAAAAATATTTTTCTTTGTCAAAAAGCCCCTCCCGATGTAGTGGAAGAGCTAAAGGACTAAAGGAGTATGAAGAAAGGTAAGAGAGTGCTAAAAGACAACAAGCTATGGATAATTACTTTCCTGAGCTTGGAGATGAAAATATGGTTGAGATCGATGAAGATGAGGAGCTTGAAGAGGAACAACTACAAGCAACTAGAGACAAAGGGAAAGGTCCATTGGCTCCTACTATAGATCATCTTCCATAACAGCAAGAGGAAGGGGAAGTTTGAGCATGAATCTTCAACAAAGAAGAAGGGGCCGATGGATGCATTTTTCACCTTTAATCCAACGCTAGAGGTCACTAAGGATGATAGAAGACGTAAGGCGAGGTAAACGTCTATTGATAAAAGCCTCAACAAAGATGCAATATCTAAAGTGCACCAAGACATTGCTCATTGGTGGTATCAAGCCGACATTCCCTTTAATGCAGCACGACTTAGGTCATTCAGAATTATGTTGAAGTCCGTGAAAGCGTTTGGGCCTAACTTGCCGCCTCCGACATTCCACTACTTAAAAGAGCCTTTGCTTAAGAAAGAGAAAAAATACACTGAAGATTTGATAAAACATTATAAAGAGGTGTGGGAAACCAAAGGTTGTTCTTTCATGTCAGATGGTTGGAGTGACCGCAAGGATAGGTCATTGTTCAATTTTCTCACAAATTCTCCTATTGGTACGGTGTTTTTTTCTTCTATTGATGCTCTTGAGGAGATTAAAACAGGTAAAAGAATGTATCAGATATTTGATGAGCAGATTAAGCTGATAGGACCTCAGAATATTGTGCATGTTGTTACAAATAATTATTCTAGTCTCAAGCTAGCAAGTAAAAATTTAGATATTAAGTTCATTTTCATTATGAGTAATTTATACTTGTTATTCAATTCTGATCATGATTTTAATTTTGATATAGAAAAATTGTTGGAGGCTAAATATCCTCATTTATATTAGACCCCGTGTGCTGCTCATTGTATCAACCTTATGTTGAAGGATATTGGAAAATTACCATTGAAGTCGACCTTGAGTCGAGCTATGGAGCTAACGGGATTCATCTACTCACATGGGTGGGTTTTAAAATTGATGAGAGGTCAGACTAACTACAAAGAGCTCCTCCGATCGGCAGTGACACGATTTGCAACTTCCTTTATGACTTTTGTCCAACATCCACAAGCAAAAAAGTAATCTTAGAAAGACGTTCAACTTGGAGAAATGGAAACAGAATAAGTAGGCAAGAGATTCCAAGGGCAAATCAACTGAGAGGATACTTTACATGCCTTCTTTCTGGAACAATATTGTTCGTGTTATTAAGCTCATTGCTCCTTTGGTCCATGTTTTGAAGCTTGTTGATAGTGAGAAGAGGCCTGCTATGGGTTATATTTATGAGACGATGGATAAATCGAAGGAGGTTATTAAAAGAGCCTTTAATGATGATGCAACAAAATATACACTTGTTTTTGAGATCATTAATAAGAAGTGGCAAGATCAGCTTCATCAGCCTTTGCACCCTGCAGGATATTACCTTAATCCTGTATTTTTCTATGATCACCTTAATATACAAGGGGATGATGAGGTTATGAAAGGCCTTTATCAAGTCATTAAGAAGATGGTGCTCATTAATGAGCAAGATAGGTTGACAAACAGCTGGATATATACAGAAATGCTGGGGGTATTTTTAGTATGGATATAGCTAAGAGAAACCAGAAAAAGAAGTCTCCAGGTAACTATCAATAATATATTCCTCAATTTACTACGTGTTTTATAGGAAATTAAAATACGTTGCTAACACTATCTAATAATCTATATTGACAGCTGATTGGTGGGAGCCTTACGGTGCATCAGCTCCAGAGTTGCAAAAACTTGCTGTAAGAGTCCTTAGTCTGACTTGTAGCTCCTCAGGCCGTGAAAGAAATTAAAGTACTTTTGAGCAAGTATGTTAAGTTTTTTGTAATACAACAAAATTGATTCATTCTTTTGAAAGAAAGTATATTGAATTAACTATTTTGTATGAACTACAGAAAAACAGCAAGAATAGGAATAGATTGGATCATAAAAGGTTGCAAGATCTTGTATACTGCAAGTACAACCAAGCTTTGAAGGAGATATTTGACTGTAGAGATGTCATTGATCCGATCAAGTTGCCTGATATAGATGAAAGCAATGAGTGGTTGCTGCGAAAATTTGGTGAAGGTGACAATGCAGAAAATGACTTGGTCAAGGACGAGGATGATCTTACATTTGGTGATGCAATGGGACCTAAAGAGGATGATGCTAGATATATAAGGTCGACAAATAGGGGACGGGGATCTTTGAGTGGTGAAGGTTCATTATTGAGGAGGGAACTGGTTTCAGAGTTAGAAGATGAAGAAGAGTTTAACAAAGAAGAGGAAACTGAGGAGGATATTCCCCCTGAAGGGAATGATGATGATGTTTAGGAGGATGATTAGACTCATTAGATTAATACTATTATCTTGTTACTTATTTACTTTGTTTTAGTAGACTACTTAATTTTCATCGATATTAGTGAACTGCTTGAGCGTGTTAGTATTATGACTAATACTCTATTTATGACTTTGGTAATTTATAATATTTATTTTGAGTCATTGACATCTTTTTCATGTGAAGTTTCCATAACCACATCTTTCTTTATGCATGTTTGTATATTCTAAAAAATTATGTGTGTAGTGTGCCTCACTTCGCTCAGGCGCACGCATTGCATTGCGCATTGCATTGCGCATTGCGCATGAGCGCGTAAATTAATTTTGCGCCTCGCGCATTGATAACACTGGTTTTTGTAACTTGCAAGAGCTTTGAGAGGCTCTTTTTTTAATATTTCTTGGATTTAATTGCACTTATCTGATTTTTAGGGATTGTTTTGCAAGTTTCAACATTAAATGGCTGATTTTGTATTTTTGGGTAATTTAAGGACTGATTTGCAGTTTTCAAATTGAAGAAATTTTCTAAATAAACCCATTCATATTTTTTTCTAAAAATAGACCCCATTGAGTTTTATTTACAAAATAGACTCATTTTATCTTAATCTAGTTTCTAAATAGTCGGGGTTGCCAACCCTGACTATTTAGGAGGTTGTAAACCCCCAATTATAACTCTAAACCCTAACATTCTATGCACTAAATAGTCAGGGTTGACAACCCCGACTATTTAGAAACCGAATTAAGATAAAATGGGTCGATTTTTGTAAAAAAAAGCTCAAGGGGGTCTATTTTTAGAAAAAAAATTTATGAATAGGTTTGTTTAGAAAAAAATTTCTTTTCAAATTTCTAAGGGGACAATCGAAGTGGAGATGAGAGGGATGAGTCGAGAGAGATAGGAACAAATATTTTTAGACTTTTTTAAGTACTGATTTGCAATTTTCAAATTTTTAATGGGACAGTCAAAGTGGAGACCAAGAGAGGCGAGTTGAGAGAGACAGGAACAAGTCAAGAGAAGAGATCAGAATTGAAAATGACACAGTTTTATAGGTCATATAGAATTCTCGGCGTACTATAGTGTTAAAGTCTAAGCACAATTGGCCAATTCCAAATCCTAAAATCCAGTCCCTCCCTCCCAGACTACAATTTGACTGTCCACTTAAAATCTAAAAAATCAAATCTAAAAAGGTGCATCAGTCCTTAAAATTTCAAAAGTACTAAAAGAGACCCCTAAACTCCGAAAATTGCAGAAACAGACCTTTAAAAATCTGAAAATTGCAGAATCAGACCTTTAACAATCTGAAAAATGCAAATTAGCCTTAAAATCTGAAAAATAGAAGAAAACAACCCTTAAAAGAAGTCAGTGGTTCAAATGAATATGCTGATGTTAATAAGTGAGAATCCATAGAGATGGTTTACGCATGTGCAGCAAAGAACAACAAGTGCTCCAGTTAGGAAGAGTAGTGGGATCATAGTGGATTGAGTAATAAGGACTTCGCATAGACGCAAAGAAACTTGAATTTGGGCTAAAATGTAAGAGGTGGCAGTGAAAAAGGATATGTTGTATGTCAGCCTCATTGTTGTACCAAAGAATTTATCACTACATTTAAGTTATTAGTGCCTACATAGAAATTTTCACTAGAAATTTTCACTTCTATAACCAGTTCCGAATCGGTGAGCACACAAACCTTTAAAAAGTGTTTATTATGCTACATGATGAGAGTTTGTATTCGCTCTTATCATCTATGCGGAGGACGAAAATTGGACACATACTACTCTGTAATGCACAAGTAGTAATATGCTTATTTCACTGGATACATTATGTTACACACATTGTCTGGTAGTTAGGAAGTTAACAGATAATAGATACAATAGACAGTAGCTTTTGGATAACTCTTTTCTGTAGGTAAACAAACCATTAGGTGTTGCAGGTTTAGAATATCTAATGATTGAGGCACACAAAATTACAAGAACAACTAGCAAAACAGGCAGCATTTCTTATTGTAAGAATAAGACAGTAAATAATGGGAAATGCCCAGTTCAACTACATAATAAGACCTGTAAGAATATCCAGAAAGTTCTAATCATATGAAACATAAACACTTGTTAATTGTCTTTATTTCTATGGATTTCTCACACCCCCTGTTTTTTTAAAGGGTAAATTTCACAAACCGCCCAAACTTTGGGCAGTTTGATATGAAACCCTCCCAAACATCATTTCCCCAAAAAACCCCAAAAATCCAACAAGTCTAAAAAAAACTACCAAAATTTTTAATCTTCCCCACGAAACACCCCAAAAAGCAAGGGGAAGAGGAGAAGGCAGACCCAGGGAAAACAAGAAAAGAACACAATTAGACAGATAATACGGTCCTCAATAGCAAGAGACACTCTCTTTTTTCCCTTTCTCTTTCTCTTTTGGGTGGGCGGTTGGGTTTGTGGAAACAATTACAAGTCTTGGGGAGTTATTTGAGACTTTTTAGAGTTTTGGGGGTTTGTGGGAAAAGTTTTAAGTTTAGTGGGCAAAAGATTTCAGGCAGGTTTGTGGGAAATGCTGCAGAGCCCCCCGCCCCCACCCCTGCCCCCCTCTTTTTGTTGGGGTGTGTGGGTGTGGGTGGGGGAGAGGTGGGGTTGTGCAATTTACCATTCTTTTAATGGTCACCAGCTAAACTAGAATAAGAATTCAAAACAAGGTTTATATTGAAGAGTAAAAACTGGATCCAAACAATTTGCAAGCCTACTGATAGCATGAACAATAATAAGGTATCAAACATTTCAGAAAAACTAGTAAACACTAGAAATATCATCAAAATACCTTTTCATAAAACTTGATAGAGCGATCAAGATCACCAACACGAAGCATAACTTGGCAGAGAGGTTCAGGGGTAGGTTCTCTCTGAATAAGCTCAAATATGTAACCATCAGGGTCTTTCACAAAGGCAATTACAGATTTCCCTCCCTTAACAGGACCAGGTTCACGAGTGATGGTGCCACCTCTGGCCCTGATGTCCTCAACCAGTTTATATACCTACAGTTCAATATTAGTTTTCCAGTTTGGAACTGCAGGTATGATATTATAAAACACAATCACGTTTTCATAAAATTGAGTTGAGAAAATATATACATACATCCTGAGTTGCAATCGCAAAGTGACCAAAGCCTGTGCCAATATCATATTTATCCACTCCATAATCTGTTACAATAAAAGAAGAATTAGTGTCCAATGGAACTAACAATAATAACACTCAATCTGGCAATATGAATAAATCTATCATTGGAACAATAATAGTGTCATTGGAAACACTGACATAAACATATAAAAAAACAGTCCTACGTAAGCTCATAAGATTACTCCACATAAAATCATCCATAAGTTCTATAAAAATTATGACAGGTCAGCTTTGTAGTTTGGGAAAAGTAATGACAAGTATTTTCATTCAGTCTCATATGAGAGAATGCCTTCTTAAGCAAATTCTAGATGTTTCACATTTCTAATAACCTAGTATGTGTGAGTGCGAAAATAAAATTCTTGTAGAGCATATATTTGAAGCTAACCTTTTAATAGTACGGACAGGGAGTCAGACCACAAACAGCGTTTTATTGGTCTGGATCAAATATGGTAATTACATAGCATACTAAGCAAGACATAATAAAATAAGTCCAATTTGAGGCAGATATCCAGATGATGCCCAATGCCTTGGCAAAACTAGACTTGAATCTGTGGCTAAATCTTAGACTAAAATGGGTTTTAACTCAATCTAGATGAAGCCAATGGCACACATGGACTACATTGATTATGAGCTAAAATTGACTATGCTGTGCTACATCTTGAGGTCATCCAGGATATAATAGTTCGGTTTAACCCCACTCATGATTCAACCATGTTTCTTTCGTAACCAAATTTCCAATGAAATTCACAAACTATAGAGTATATACATATTGTTTACTGTTTTTAAAACAGTTTACATTTTTCAAGTAGAAGTCAAACAGCTCGGACATATCAATCTGTCTTTCATCATCAACCAGTAACGAAGAAAATATTTGGTTTTCTTTAACTAATATTATCCCCACATGAATTCAAAAACTCAACAGTCCATTTCTCGAGGGGAAAAAGATGGACATTGTCAATGAATAGGGAATGAAGATCTACAATATCCAGGCACAAGCAATTAGGACTTCTACTTATGATTAATAACATCCATGCAACTTCTTCCTTCCGTTATATTTAATTAGATATATTCACAAGAAGAAAGAATGCAATTTATCAAAATTTTCAGAACTTTAGAATAAATAAATAAAGACAAAAGGTTATATACTACATGTTTGAAAACGGAGTTAAGGAGACATACTGTATGTCAACTCTACCACAAAGTGAGAATCTTCAGGTCCAAAGCCAAGGAACGCATTTGAGTATTTCTCTTCTGGAACATCCCTTTTCCTCAGTAGGGTCATACCAAAACACTCAGTATAAAATCTTGAAACACAAAAAGAGTAAATTAGCCACACAACAATGAAAAATTAACAATCAATAAGGATATATTTCAGAAAAAGAATATATACTTTATGGTCCGCTCCAAGTCACCAACACGGTACACAGCATGCAAGAATCTTCGCTTGTCTTTCTGAACCCATTCAAGCACGGATTCACTTGGAACAGCGATTTCAGTTTCCGCTCCAGATGCCATATCTAAGGATATACAATGGATCAATTTGTGGTTAATGATAGAGATTAATCATACTATCAATTAAAGTATAAGCTACCAAACTGCATTCACTACTTGTTCGAAAATAAACTTTTAACTCAGATCCATTCCAGCTATACTGAATAAAAGCCCGCAATGGAAGCAGACTATCATTGCCATCACAATTCCTAACCGGTTGTGTGAAAATAACGCATAAATTCCACAGCTTACAGTGTATTAGAACATAATTCCCTCAACATAGAATATTACGACATGAACAGTGGTCAGTGGACCAATGTTCACCATTCAAAATGCTAACAACTTGCAATTCAAGTATATGTCACTAAAATACATTAGAATGAATAATGAAAAAATCACTTGTTTAAAAAGACACTTGGACATAGAGAGATTCTGTCTACCGAATAAAAGTCGATACTGGAAACAGACACCCTGACTGTCACTATTCTAACTGGTTTTGCCAAAATCGCCCATAAATACCTAAATTGATAATACTATCGCAGTTTACAGGTCATCATATGAAACTGCCACAGATGCACCCATGAATTTCGGCAAAAAAAAAAAAAAAAAAATCAGAACTGCCACAGATGCACCCATGAATTTCGGCAAAAAAAAAAAAAAAAAAAATCAGTGTGGCTGACCTCATAAATTTAACAGTCAATTTCCTTTTGCTCAAAAGAATACATCCCAAACACAGTATTCTAGTATTTTAGCCCTAAGGTAAATAGTAGGAAAAGCTACATCCATAATTAACTTTAATCAAATAATCATCAAGTTTTTATATAATCATTAATTTCCGGTATAATATTTGCATACGTGTTTTTACGAGCCTATTGCTATAGTTTTTACATCAGCAGTAAACTTTGAAAATTAAAAAGGAGGTGGTCAAGGTGTCCCTTGTCTTCCAACACCTTAGGGGGTATTTCTATGAATCATGTATATTTCAGGGGGATTTGCTCTTATTTACCCTAAACATTATTCAACCAAAACCAACAAAGAACTACGGAGGGCTGAACTATATCGCTCAGCAATTAGATAATCGGTCTAAAAAAACAAATACCACGATTTATTTCTCCAAAAAAAACAAAAAATTGATAAAAAAAAGAATAAACCCCATCAATTCTGTAAGATTCATTGAGCAAAGCATGATGGGTTATGCTCTCACCAAGATAACCCTTTAAACATAGTACTAAAGCTCCCCAATCCCAATTCTTTTAGACCCAAATGCTTAAATTTCATATAAAAATTAGATGAAAAATAGACAAAATGAAGAAAAAATCTTACCCAAATAGTAAATGAAGAAGAACCCCGAGAGAGAAAGAGAGAGAGAGAGAGAGAGGGTCTGCAGTGTGCCGGCTTGTATAAAAATGTGGCGTATAAATAAATAGAGTGGAAAAGGGAAAGGGGCGTGATTTATGCTTTTCTTGATTGATAATTATTTTTTTGGGTAGAATCTTCTAAAGCGGTCACTGTTTTGGTTGTTTTGTGTTTGGATGTAAAATCGAGGTCACAGACGGGGGTTAGGTTGAGGAGGCCGCTTCTGCCATAATATGTTCAGAAAAAATATATACTTTTTTAAATTTGGAGATCCGCATAAAAATATCATAAAGTATCTTTTTATTTGAGAAAAATATTAATAATTTGCTAAACAGATATCATATTGAGTTTGATGGTAAGAAATGACCGTTGATTTGTTAATTGAGCTACCAACAGACGGTAGTGTGATCCGTGAGATCCATATACTTTAATGTGACTTTTAGGAGTGGGCTTCATCGTATGCACTCTAAATTATTGTGTGTTACATAGAGCTACAAAAGTTTGAATACAAGCTTCTAATATTTTACTCTCACAATAGCAAAATCCACTTAGTAGATGTGGATATTTCAGATAAGTTATATGTCCTATATACAATACAATTACCCTAGCAAGTAAATTATAATAGCAATTTTTATTCACATCATTTGGAGCAAGATATGATAGGGACCTTGAATCAAAGAAAAAAAATTATATTTAGAGCACATGGGAAATATATCATAATCTCTCTGCTCTAATTTCGCAAGAAAATAATTCTTCATAATTTCAATTTTATTTCTATGATACAGAGAATGTTGAACCATACCTTGATGATATTATTCTTTGTAATATTTTTTAAAGAATAAAAGTTAATTAATTCTTCAAGTACAAGTGTTACTTCTCAACTACTTCTTTGTAATATTTTAAAGGTGTTTGTAATTTGCAGTTTTACTTTGGTTTGGTAAAAGTTTATTAAAGTTTTACTTCTATCAATCCCACAAAAAAACTTTGTTTTCTTTTTTATTTTTATTCTATTTTTATCAATTTAAATAAAATATGATATCCAATCACGTGCATTATACGTACATCTCAACTAGTCATATCATATCATATCATACTCCCTTTCATACTCCCTTTAAAAGAGGGAGTTGTGGATAAATTTTTCAAGGACTATACTACCCCTATTCTTTGTTGATATTACATTCTAATACTAACTAAACTAAATTAATTATCATTGTTAATTAATTACATTATATGTCACTTTAAGTTTGTATAATTTGGTATCTAAAACTTCCAACGCTATTGTAAAACTCTACATCATATCAATTATTAGTAATGTAAAATAATATATTAATAGATAATTGCATGTTAATAAAGTATTTATGGAAAGAGTAGAAAACATAGAATTATCCTAAAATTATACCATGAAACTCATATAGGAAAATTACAAAGAGCATTCTTATGTTTATGTAAGAGGACAGAATGTAAAAACATTATATTTTGGAAAACATTAGGATATTTAAGTGCAGCAAGCTAGATATATTATCTAAAATTTTAAAAATATGCAACAAGATACAAGTGGAGGTATATAAATATAATTGCTATAAACTATAAAAGATTTAAGTTCAATTAATCCTATAAATATTTAAAACCTTTGTTATCCATAAACAATAATATATGAACCCATTGATAAATAATATTCATCATACAATATGAGGCCAAATGGTTAGCTTATATTTATATAGTACAGGAGATGCTAAAAAATTAAAGCATCATATTTTGAATGAGTCTCAAGATTTTGAATTATTTCCTAAAATTATATAATTCGCTTAAAAAACTTTAGAAGAGGCTTCTGAAGGACTACTACAAAGGGTTGGACATCAGATAAATATTAAACAAATAAAATCCATGATATCAGATTGTAAAATTCAGGGATGTCTATGTAATATTGGGTGTCATATGAGAGACTATTCATACATAACATGACATTGTAATATGTAATCTAACATATTAATAAAATTTAAATATAATAATTTGCATCAAGAAATATGCTTAAGATTTGGGAGAGCCGAGAGTGGAGAGATTTGGAGAAGAATTGTGGCATTTGTGGGTTTTGTAGGTTCCAATTTTATTTCCCAAACAAGATCCAAACTCGAGTCCACAATCAAATTAAAAATGACATGATTTTCTCAATATCTTCAAATATATATATTGGCCATATTTTCGATAACGGTCGATATATCAAAAAAATCACCAAACAAAAGAAAACAATAGGAAATATTACCGAGATAAAGTCTTTAACCCGATATATTAGCCGATATAGCAATATATCGGCAAATATTTCATAGGATACCTATAAGAGCAAATATGTAAAGGTTATTTAGATATTAGTTTCTTGATTTTAAATATACAATGATTTTATGTTATTCTCTGAAATGTTTTAAATTGCTCATAATTTAGGGATTAATATTAAATTATTAAAAAAATTTGATGTTGTTTGACATTAGATAGATATGAATTATTTTGTTAAAATACAATCAATATGAGTGCATAATATGTATAAATTATTCTAAGACTATATTTATAATTTTCTAAAACTAGAGAGTAATCATTTTGATAGATCAATTAGTAGTTGGGAAGATGTAAAAAGAGTACAACAACAGATTTTAAAATTGATCATATAATTTATATTTTCTTTCTTGATTGAATTTGCACATTATAACTTAGAGAACTCTAGAAAAAGGTTCTTGAATATCTATAATACTTGGTCGCCTGATAAACAATAGGTGAAAGTGATTTTTTCATAACCGAACAAAATCCTTACTAACTAGATAAAGCCTACCATTTTTCTTTGATGAATTCAAGAATTTATTTTTTATTAATAATTATAGGTTTTTTCCGTATTGGTCCCTTACATCATTAATATTTTAAAATTATACGTTCAAATTAGTAATTAATCTTAAATCGTTAATATTTTAAGGTTTTAAACATCACTATTTTTTTGGAAGACAAAAATGTTAAAACCACACATAGAAATATCCAAAAAAATTTAATATATTATGATATTTATAAAGTTTTTTGCAACCATATTATAGTAAATAAATAAACCTGAAAAATAATTATGATATTTGATCACGTGCAGTGCACGTGCATTCCACCTAGTACTATTATAAAAGTGTGTTGGTATGTTAAAATATTTTTTTCTGAAAATACCCTCCAAACCACATACATGCATTCATAAAACACATACTTGCATACATATAAACACATACATATATACATGCATCATTCTTAATAATGGCATAACTCTCCTATTAATTGTCCACTAATATTAACTTCTATTTTTTGTAACCCCTCCACCAATCCAATATTAATGTTATCATAAAAAATTTACATACATATAAACACATACATATACATGCATACATTCTTAATAATGGTATAACTCTCATATTAATTGTTCACTAATATTAACTTCTATTTTTTGTAACCCATCCACTTAAAATGCACATATGACAAACTAATAATATACATTTCAATTTGCAAACAAAGTGTCAACTTAAAATGTCATTAGTGCATGCATTCATGCATACTTGAAATGAGAGTTACATTTTCAATTGTAGTTTTTATTTAAGTGGCAATTATATTTAACTTCGTGAATAAGAAAAATGAAAGGCGTTAGATATTCGAAAGTTTCGAAGGGTTGATGGATTGATCGAAAAACTCTTTATTTATAATCAATCGATGTTAAAGGGTTCGATTCCCGTTTCGGTGGTGGGTCATCACTCCCATGATGACGGAAAGGCTGGGAAACAAGTTTGTCGACGCAATACAGAGCTCCAAGGGGATCCTGCTGTATATCGGTTTTCGACGGGATGAGCGGGGGAGAAAAAGGATGCCCTTAATAACAGACTGCCAGCATCCTGACACCTGTCACAACACACTACCAGTGCCCTCTCCCCCACGGCATGCTCCCTTCGACTCCACTGGGTCCCTGCGAAGAGACATACTATAGCGGCCAGGCGCTTCTAGCGATTCTCGCGCCTCTTCTCATCCCATCATATGCATTCATGGGTAAAGAGATATTTTACTCCGGATGGGAGAGTCAAATAATTTCTTGCATCATGTGGAGCTGGATTCAGTACATCAAAAATTGGCTTGATCTGTCCTCTACCACCTTATCATCGGTGGGCCTGCTAGAGGAGTCTCTTTCTATCGTATGCTCCTCACACCCACCCCTCCCCACCGATAACGATGAATATCCGCTGTTCATTGATAGTAATGAAACAACCTATCCTGCTTATTGTTTGATCGAAGAGGAAACCTCTTCGCCTCTTGACCCATCTATCCGGAATTGGATCTTTATCTTCCAACGCTCTCCTGGCTTTCTCTCGTTTCTAGTTGATCGAGTCGGGAGGGCACTCTCCATTTCTCCGATCCCACCTCTAATGAATGAATTATGGGCTTGGTGCATTCGCCTCTGAATCTCATTTTGGATTTGGATACGAAAAAAAGAACTAAGAACTTAGCCCCACCCACCAAATGGACCTCCATGAATCAACTCATAAACATCTAACGCATGCAAATAATAATGACTTACAAACTTATTTGTCACTAAATCATTTAAGACATCCAATGAATCCAACGCATGCAAATAATAATGACTTACAAACTTATTTGTCACTAAATCATTTAAGACATCCAATGAATCCTTAATAGTAGTAAGGTCGTCACCAAAAACAGTATGCGTGAAGTCTGGGAAGGTCCATTGGTCAGTAAGTTGCAGGGTTTGAGCTGTAAAGTGGATCAAAGACAATCTGTCTTGTTCTGGTTCCAAGGAGAAGAGAAGGTCTTGCTAGGACTTCGTTTTCTATGCTCGAGGTTTTTTTCTAAGAGCAAGAGCTAGTGTTTATAGGAGCTCTGGTTCATCCGTAGTTCCGTATGCCTCAGCTAAGGTGGAGTCATAGGCAAGTGCAACTAAACTAGATTCAGTGCCGGTTTTTGTGGCAATCCCATGACGAGTTTATGATTCGGATCCATACCCGATGGATCGAGTTTCCCGAGTCCAAGCACAAATAGTTGGGATAGCTGTGGGAAATACCGGAGCAGAACCATTCGTTGGAGATACAGACTCCGTTCGATCAGTTGTTCGAGTGGTATTTTACCCGAAACCAGTTTAAGCAGCGGCAGAAGCATAAACGGATCGGG